CCCATCCACAAAGAGTGTGCATATAAGCCCTCATTCACATGAATAACAGCCGGCCCGTACAGATCTGTGCGGCGTGCACGGCCGTATCGGGTCGCTCCCGGGAAGGACAGGTGCTGTGTGTGATTTGTACGCAGCAGCCTGATCATCTCTATGGCCGCACGCTCACCCGTACTGCACGTCCGGTATGGGTGTCCGTACTCATACGCTGACAGGAAGGATCCTAGGTGCCTCAGAGCAGGGACACCCGCACCCACACGGACGTGCAGTTGGGGTGAGCGTACGGCCGCGCCCTCCCATAGGAAAGAACAGGCTGCTGCGTACTGATTACACGCAGCACCTGTCCTTCCCGGGAGCGGCCCGATACGGCCGTGCACGCCACACAGAGCTGTACGCACCGGCTGTTATTCCTGTGAATGAGGGCTTAAAGCTCTCCAGGTTTTGCAGTGCTTGAAGTTCTCTGGATCGGACCTGGAAATTATACAGGCGCCAGCTATAAAATATGGGGGCCAGTTTATCATCTCTGGAGGCCCCTCAGGTTTGCTATATGTATGATGGTTCTAGTCGGCTGTCATCCGCTATATGCAAGCTACCCGAACGGGCTTTCTAAGGTAACAACAGTGCTGACGTTCAACCACCTCAAGATACATGTAAGCGTTCTGATCCATCCTTGCTTCTATCCTAGACCCAGGCCGTACAGGGGCTCGACTTCTGACCAGGTCAATATGAAACCCCGCCACGTACTGGCACTATGCTCATCATTTGGCAATAAGTTGTAAATTGCCAGATTCCTTACTGCCTGTGCTGCCATTTCACAGTTAAAAAATGGGGGCAGGGTTAATATCAGGAGGGGGTGGAGCTTAATCCTGACTCGCAAAAAATATGTTAAATGCTCATATAATCTTATGGGAAGATCGTTGTTAAAATGAATGATCTGGCGACAAGGTCTCTTCACTAAGGACCTGTTCACATGATTTTCAGGTCCTGATCACGTTCGGATCTGCAGACGCGGTGCTATGTGTTTTGCCGCGTTTTTGATGCGTTCCAGTAAAAAAAAAGAAGTTAGCTGCAGTGCAGTGCGTTTTTGCCGCGTTTTCGGACCGTTTCCTGACCAGACAAAATGTAACATGCAGTATTTTTTCTGTCGTAAGCTGAACGGACTGCGCACGCGAGAACTCTAGCCCATAAAACACATAGGGATACATTGGGATGCGTTTTTAGTGCCGGAGCGCACAAATCAGGTCAGCACAGAAAACGGAGGTCATGTGAACAGGGCCTAAAGCTTTGCATAGGTGCGGATAGGATTGCTCCGATGTCTAGCCCAAACTTTCTGGGAGACCTTGACTTATTATTCATGTTATTGACATGTAAAAGCCTCCCTTGTGTAGACTTGGAAGTGATGTCAGCAGTCCCAAAGCTCTCACTCAATTGACAAACACAGCAACGTAAGCATTTAAAATACCGAATCTTTGGGCTTTTACCAGCAATTGTGCGGTCTTAAAAAAAAATAAACAAAATTCAGAATATCAGCCACTCACTAGTCTCTGTAACACTTTCCACTTCAGAAGTTTCAAACATGGCCTGTCCAGGGCCAGACAGGGAGACATCAGTCATATGTAAGGTCTCTTCTGCTGGAAAATGGAGGTCGTTAGATCCTCCCCCTCCACCAGCGTTGTCCTCAGCCGAATTCTCCATGTGGTACACGGCCCCGGCTGATGACTGGAGCAGCAGCTGCTCACATGACTTCACAGTCCAGTCACATGACCCCTGAAGGTCTTCTACAGACATTTCCATGTGCTACGGTGGCCGCATGCCCCACTAGGATCTTCGTTCAAGTTTCTCTCCTGAAAGAAAATAACAATTGACATTTGTCTAGTATTGAAATAAATATATGTTCCCAGAGTATAGAAAATGAAAAAACAATCTGTAGGGAATGTTTATACCACAGGCACAATTTTCGCCCACTGACACAAACAATGGAGCACAATGGGTCACTATTCCTCCCTTAGACACCAATGATGGGTCACGAGTCCTCCCTCCGACGTCAATGATGGGCCACTATTCCTCCCACTGACACCAATAGGGCTGCAACCAACTAATCGATAATTGATGAGAATAGTTGTCAACTATTCTCATTATCGATTAGTTGGTTGGAGGGGGGGAGAAAGAGAGATTATTTTTTGTAATGCAACTAATCGATTAAGCGGAAAAATAATTGGGCAACTAATCGATTATGAAAATAATCGTTAGCTGCAGCCCTAGACACCAACGATGGGGCACAATTCATTCCACTGACACTATTGATGGACCACTAGTCCTCTCTCTTTCACGAACAATAGGGCACTATACTTCCCACTGACACCACATTGGTGTGATATGGTAACAGCCTCATTACTGCAACGGGCCATTCATTCTGATGACACCCCAATGCATTATTACAATGCCGTGCAGCACCAGTACCTTCCCAGGATGCAATGCTCAGTCCTGAGTGGCCAATTTCTGGAGCTGTCATGTGGGGAGGGAAACACATCTAAGGCAATTTTGTGTTTTAGATTTTGGAATTAGGGAAGGGTTGGACCTTCTGCCAAGTTTTTATTGCAGTGCAATCACCCTCCCCCCCCTGCCCCCCCTACAAGTCCTAGTAACCACTTTTACAGGAAGTGATTGGAAATCCCGATGTTTTGAGCATGATTAGAGGGAAAGACTTCCCATGAGACACCTGCTTCTGTGACAACTCTCTGGGATGAAACCTTTCTTCACTTTTGAGAAATTCACTTTCATTTCCTGTTGGGCCTTCAGGACAGGAAGTGAAGGGACATCTCCCTAGTGGGGCACAGACATCAAATCTTAACCCGATAGGAGGTTTTAACCCTTCACTGTTCTATTCAAAACTAAAGAAAAAAGTGTTTTAGCAACACATATATATTAACCCTGTGTGAGCTCAAACACCGACATCAGAAAGACGGCTGGAGTGGTGGGATAAGGGGAGTATGTCACTTTCCCCTCAATGGCCTGTCACTTTCCCCTCAATGGCCAACAAAGTGACAAATCTTTATTGAGACCCCCAACCCTGAACAGTGCAATGCATTACCACCAGACCTGTAACCCAACTCACCCCACCCACCTGCTGCTATCTATCCCATCGCAGGATCTGGAAAAAGGGGGCATTTCCAGGGGAAACTCTTCCAAACCAGGACATGCCCCTGGAAGACACTTGACACCTCTGCCCGTCAGGGAAGCTCATTAGGTATCAATGGGCCCCTCCTTGTACCCCTGACCCCTTTCCCCCATCTGTTACCCGGGTAACCAGCAGCACCTGATCCCTGCAGGCCTCTGCCCATGCCTGGGAGATGGTGGCTCCGCTCTTGCCCGGGTGATGGCCGATCACTCTGGCTCAGAGGCCCTTCTATGCGATCCGGTCCGACCTGCCAGCGCCAGCTGACCGCTACCTGTAAACCCAAAAGCAGAACCAAAGCCTGGAACGCAACCGGAAATCAAGCGTGAAACGCAGCATTACATCACTTCCTCCATCCGCTGTGTGACGTGACACGCACGTTGGGAGGCGGAACGAGGCTTGGAACGCAGAGAGCCGGAAGTCGAAGGCAGCAGCAAGCTGCAGGCTGGAGAAGAAGGTGAGGGGTGACCTCAGTGAATTTTCTGCTGTGTGTTGTGTGTCCTTCTCATCCTGGGCGTCTGTCGGTTTATAATTAGCAGGTGCCTTCCAATTATAAAGTGTCTGCTTCACTTAATCAATGAATAGATGAGTGCCATGTGATTTAAAGGGATACTCCATGTGACCTGGGGAATGGGTTCCCCCCCCCCCCCCCCAAAGTCAGGTAGATTACCCCTCAGCCCCTGATCCAGGGACACCAGTATTTAAACTAGAAAGAGTTTGAGGACGCCATCTTTAAATTGGGGACGAATTCGGAGACACTTTTTATCCAGGGACAGCCTTCTAAAATCAGGGATTGTCTCCGGGGAATGGGGATGTCTGATCACCCTAGGCTAGGGGAAGCCATGACGTCACCTCTTCCACCATGTGACAGCGCTTAGACCTAGCGATTGGCTGCTAGACCCATGCTCATCAACAAAAGCAGGTCACATGCTCCCCCATACCTGGAAGCACTGGGCTTCTATCCGGTGGCAGTGAAGACAGGGCCGAATTGCAGGTTACACGAGTAGAACCCCTAAATGGGCAAAGTGACAGCATCTCTTAAAGGAGTTGTAAAGCTCCCAGCATCTCCTCTCCTGTTATGACATCAGCATTGTAATAGGAATACATACTGGAGTTGTTTCTGATAATACAATCAAAGCTTACTGGGAAAAATCCCTTTTACGTAGTGAGCGCTGCCTTCCATCTGCCCATCACTTACAACAATTTCCTGGATTCCCAGTGTGCTTTGCGTCTCTCTCCCTGCTGCTTGATGTGATGCAATCTCCATTTCTAAAGACTACATCTCCCATCATGTATAAGCAGTGATAATGTTACATTGCTCAGACATTGAGTTGTAGTTCAGAAGGCAGGCTATGTGAGAGCGGTGACACCAGGAGGTGCACATTCACAGGGCTGAGTGAAATGGTGTCAGTGAATTGCGGAAGTCCATCCTATGGGCATCTTCAATAGGGAGGTTTACAAACATGTAGATCGATATGGTTATTTGTAGTGGGGAAGAAACGTCTACTGGTTTCTATAACTGGGTCAAGACGTGACAATGAAATATAAATAATATCAGAATTGACACTTTATTATTAGGCCGTATTTTCTTATTTGACATAATAAAAGGTAGAACAATACACCGTTACTGCCCATGCCTGGGAGATGGTGGCTCCGCTCTTGCCCGGGTGATGGCCGATCACTCTGGCTCAGAGGCCCTTCTATGCGATCCGGTCCGACCTGCCAGCGCCAGCTGACCGCTACCTGTAAACCCAAAAGCAGAACCAAAGCCTGGAACGCAACCGGAAATCAAGCGTGAAACGCAGCATTACATCACTTCCTCCATCCGCTGTGTGACGTGACACGCACGTTGGGAGGCGGAACGAGGCTTGGAACGCAGAGAGCCGGAAGTCGAAGGCAGCAGCAAGCTGCAGGCTGGAGAAGAAGGTGAGGGGTGACCTCAGTGAATTTTCTGCTGTGTGTTGTGTGTCCTTCTCATCCTGGGCGTCTGTCGGTTTATAATTAGCAGGTGCCTTCCAATTATAAAGTGTCTGCTTCACTTAATCAATGAATAGATGAGTGCCATGTGATTTAAAGGGATACTCCATGTGACCTGGGGAATGGGTTCATGTGCGTGGTGCAGGGGTTCCCCCCCCCCCCCCCAAATAAGGGCTTCTGCAATGGCCTGCATAGGAAATATAGCAGAAAGCTGTTTCAACACGAAAATTGGCGATAGCAATACATTTTATAATTGAAGACTTGTGTTGGGGGAGCAATGTACACATGCATATGTGACCTCAGCGTGTGATGATGACAGCCAGGAGCTAATACTTGCAGACGACCCCCCTCCCCGGAGGAGGGTTTTCAGACACAGGCAGCCAATAACAGAAATGTCAGGTAGATTACCCCTCAGCCCCTGATCCAGGGACACCAGTATTTAAACTAGAAAGAGTTTGAGGACGCCATCTTTAAATTGGGGACGAATTCGGAGACACTTTTTATCCAGGGACAGCCTTCTAAAATCAGGGATTGTCTCCGGGGAATGGGGATGTCTGATCACCCTAGGCTAGGGGAAGCCATGACGTCACCTCTTCCACCATGTGACAGCGCTTAGACCTAGCGATTGGCTGCTAGACCCATGCTCATCAACAAAAGCAGGTCACATGCTCCCCCATACCTGGAAGCACTGGGCTTCTATCCGGTGGCAGTGAAGACAGGGCCGAATTGCAGGTTACACGAGTAGAACCCCTAAATGGGCAAAGTGACAGCATCTCTTAAAGGAGTTGTAAAGCTCCCAGCATCTCCTCTCCTGTTATGACATCAGCATTGTAATAGGAATACATACTGGAGTTGTTTCTGATAATACAATCAAAGCTTACTGGGAAAAATCCCTTTTACGTAGTGAGCGCTGCCTTCCATCTGCCCATCACTTACAACAATTTCCTGGATTCCCAGTGTGCTTTGCGTCTCTCTCCCTGCTGCTTGATGTGATGCAATCTCCATTTCTAAAGACTACATCTCCCATCATGTATAAGCAGTGATAATGTTACATTGCTCAGACATTGAGTTGTAGTTCAGAAGGCAGGCTATGTGAGAGCGGTGACACCAGGAGGTGCACATTCACAGGGCTGAGTGAAATGGTGTCAGTGAATTGCGGAAGTCCATCCTATGGGCATCTTCAATAGGGAGGTTTACAAACATGTAGATCGATATGGTTATTTGTAGTGGGGAAGAAACGTCTACTGGTTTCTATAACTGGGTCAAGACGTGACAATGAAATATAAATAATATCAGAATTGACACTTTATTATTAGGCCGTATTTTCTTATTTGACATAATAAAAGGTAGAACAATACACCGTTATTGGAGGTGGGCAGCCCCTGAAGCCAGGTTTGCATTTGTGCCTTCCTCCCTGCTTGCAGTTCATGCCTTGGTCATGTCATTGGGTTATAGTGAATGGAGAGACTTCATTTTTTGTTGTTCATCTAATAAAAATCTTTTCTCATTTTCTTCACAGCATGCAGCGGTAACAATCATCTCAGCTCCGGCTGTCCTCAGCAGAAATGCCGTTTGCGGACTTCCTGGGGGCCCTGAAAGACAATCCCTACTTCGGGGCGGGGTTTGGTCTGGTTGGTGTCGGCACGGCTTTGGCTTTGGCCCGTAAAGGAGCCCAGTTTGGCATGGTCGCC